TTAATTAATGCCATTAACGTAATAATTTAGTGTATTTAGCGTTGAAATCATAATATTGGTTATTAGTTAATAATTGAAATGATTAATGATATTATATGAACATATTAGTTCATCTAGTGAATTAATTGCATTGAACTGTAATTAGTGAAATTTAATATATTAATAATACTCCACATATGTTGGTAATGTTTATAATTTAGAGTTTTTAACCTGTATAATTTTTTTATTATAATATTCATGCATAATGTATAGACAAAATAGAATTTGGATGTATGATAAACATGCGGTATTGTACGGAATGCAATCAAATTTTCTTGAAGGAGTTGACGAGTTTATTAAATTCGCACTTGAACACCCAGCTTATATGAGTGATGATAAAATCAAATGTCTATGTTCAAAGTGTAAAAATCTCAAATTTAAACACTCATACGAAGTTGCGTGGGATTTGTACGCGGACGGTTTCGTTCCCTATTATTATAATTGGATTTCTCATGGCGAACCTTTGGATCCATCTGTTTTAACACAAACGGTAGGTTCGTCTCGTAACGTCCCTGCAGAGATGAGTGTGTGGGGAGACCCTGCTGAAATGAGATGGGAGCAATGTATGGTGTATGACGCATACGATGCATCGATGTCTCAGTTCAATCCCCCACAACCATCTAACGATCCTCCTGAAGCCTCGACATCGTATCAACCAGATGAGGATGAAAATACGATATTTTATCAACCTTATGTAGATGAAGGTTTAGCTGAAAGATTTCAAGATGTTTTAAAAGCAGTCGATCAACCCCTGTATGCTGATTGTGAGGGATACTCTCAGCTATCTGCCGTTACAGAGTTTATGAACATAAAAGCTGAATACAGTCTCCCTGAAACTTGCATGACTAGAGTCTTGCAGTCAGTAGGCGGGATGCTACCACGTGATCATAACCTCCCCGATTCATATTACCATGAAAAGGGACAGATTCGCCATGGGGGCGCGACACGCGATAGCAAGGTAGCGACTGGTGTGTTGCAATAGGCGGCGGTGGCAGAGTTCTGGCGTGACTGGTTGAGATATTCCGTATGGATAGTGTGAATTTTAATTGGGAAATTACCCAAAATAGGAGTAAATGAGGTTTGAAATTCCAAAACAGGACAACTATGTTTTTCTTCCCGAAATAGGAGTTGTTATTGCCATGTATGAAAAATACTGTCATTAATTATAATTAATATTGTCATGTTAAATGCACTGTATTGCAACTATTTGGCAGTCACGCCTACAAGATGACAGTAAAACATAGTAGTCCTATTTTGAAATTACAAACTCCATTTACTCCTATTTTGAGAAATCTCCTATTTTAATTTGGGTTAGCATGACTCCTTGAGAGATTGCTTGGCTGCTTTAGATATTCCGTATGTGGTGCGGTAGCTTGAGTATTATTGTTATTTGAATTGGTATTTAGCTTAGAGTATTAAATATCATCTAATCACTTTTTTATCCAAATAAAACAGTCATATTTATGTCCATGACATCTCTAGTCTAGAAGTAATATTAGGGCCATTATTTCATTAAAAAACTTCAAAAAAATAGAAAATTAAAAGAAAGAATGTCATGACGACTTATGTAAACCCGATCAGACTTAGGCTCACGACAACGATATCTCTTATACTCAGATACATAGTCAAGAAATACACAGTGAATAGAGCGGGCAGAAAGTTTATTGGATGATGAAGCAGAAATATTTGGTAAACAAGAGCACCCAAACACACGTAGAAAAGAATAGTCAGGGGATTTGTGAAAAAGTTTTTCGGAGGGAGAGAAAATGAAAAGAAGAGGAGTAGGTAAACGGTTAATAATATATTAAGCCGTAAGAAGTGCATCAACCCAAAAGGTGCTAGGAATTGAGGTTTCACGAAGTATGGTCCTAGTTAATTCCAATAAATGTTTATGCTTCTTTCACCAACCCCATTTTGTTGGGGAGTGTCATGACAAGACTTGTGAAAATAAATGCCATGAGTATTAAAAAAATGGTGCATAATAAAATTAACAAATTCACCCCCTCCATCACTTTGAAAATTTTTAATTCTAGTTTTAAAAAGATTTTCAACTAGAGCTTTATAATTTTTAGTGAATAAAGAATTCATCTTTTCGGCGCATCGGATACAGCCAAGTAAAGCGAGAAAAATAATCTATAGAGCAAACATAATATTTAAATCCCAAATTGGATAAAACATGTGATTGCCAAAATCAGAATGAATAAGTTGAAGAGGTTCAAAACAAGAATGACTAGAATTTGAGAAAGGTAATCGTTGTGATTTGCCTAGTCGGCAAGAAATACAATCATGAGAAAAATTAGAGCTGACTACTTAAAAGACGTAAAACGGACTCGTCACAATGGCCTAATCTACGATGCCACAAAGACCTAGAAGTGGAGACGGAAGATAGAGCAAGTGATGATGCATGACTGAGACTGACTGGATAAAGATGGCCTTTACTGAGTGCTTGAAGAAGGACCGCCCCCGAATTTTTGTGCGTAATAAAAAAGAAATTTTTATAAAAAATTACAACACAGTTGTTATCAGCACAAAGTTTCTGAATAGATAATAAATTAAATTTTATCTAAGGCACATGATAAAAAGATTTTAAGGTAAGTGGACGGCTAGAGGAAGATAACAAAATATTACCATTATTAGCTATAGGTAGTTTAGAACCATTAGCAACACTAATAGAATGTGATCCGGTATAAGGAAATTTATTAACTAAAAAATCTTCCGTGGGTGTTATATGAGCAGAGGTACCTGAGTCCGAAAACCATAAAGAGGTAGTAACATCATTATTTGAGGTCAACAGTGCAGGGGCGGAGTTCTGACTAAACCGAGACGGACAATGAAGAGCAGAGTGACCTGTAGAGAAACATATCGGACAAACAACGGGCGGTGGAACAGAACCAAGAATTCTCTAAGAAGATGAAAAGCCTACAGTGCTAGAGTTAGTGCCACAAATAAAGTAGGGATTATCATTTAAACTGGACAAAACAGATATACTAGCAGAACCTGAAGTGCCAGAAGAGGATGAGGCTGCTCGATGCGATGGACCGGGCTGGACCTGTTGGCCGAACTGCTGGCCTGCTGCAGGTGCCAGCTGAGCTGCACCGGAAAACTGCCGGGCATTGTGCAGCGGCCCATAGTTCTGCTGGCCGTAGTTATGGTGCCCGTGGCCTTGTGCCCCTCTGCCGTGGCCACCCCTGCCTTGGGGAGCGTATGCTTGTTGCAGTGCCTGCTGTCCTACGACACCAAAGGCTTGATGCATGCTGGTGGAAGCTCGTTGATGATTAAACAAAACCCGTTGTTCGGCCTCCATAAGGCGAGGATGTAGCACATCAAAAGGAAATTGATCGGGAAATAGCATAACCGTACCAACCAATGATTCATGCTTTGGACCCAAACCCGAAATAATGGATTGGAGTAAATCTTTCTCCGAAATAGGAGAATTAACAGCAGCTAGAGCATCAACCAAATTTTTAATATCCCGGAGATAGTGTTCCATATATTGATTTTCCCTCTTTTTAAGATTAGATAACTCACACTTCAACTCCATTCAACGAGGTAAACTAGCAGACATGAATCGAGTTTGTAATCTATCCCATATCCCAAAAGAGTGTTTAAGATCATGCACATCAACTAATACATCACGAGTAAGGGTAGCAAATAACCAAGAATGGATAGTTTGATCTACCCTTAGGCAATGATAATATTCAGTGTTGGGCACCTCATGATTATTGAAATAAACAGTATACATTGGGGGAACGGGAATAGACCCATCAAGCATACCAAACAATCCTTGTGAAACTAAGAACGATTCAAATTGAGTGCATCAAGTTAAATAATCTTCCACGACCTTTAATTTAATGGTCACAATTTGACTTACATGAGAGATATGAGTAAGAGATTGTACCAACGAAGCCATGGGACCACCAAAAATAGAGGACTCAGGAGGACGAGCAATTATCGGAGAGCCAGTGAATGTTGAACCGAAGAACTGAAAGCTGGCTGCAGCGTTGGAGGAGCGAGTGGCTGCTACGGCTCTGATCTGGACATCTGCCACGGAGAAGAAGCATACAGATTCTGGAAGAAGGGAGGACGCGTGGGTGAGCACCACATCATAGAAGCCATGGACGGAGCGACAGTAAAAATCAGCTGCGACACACCGGAGATGGCGAAGCTGGAGGAGAAAGTGGCGCGGGAGGAGAGGACCGTGCTGACCGACAAGGGAGAGGAGATGCTGAAGTCGGTCGTGGTTGATGTCTCAACGACGGTGCTGGCTGGCTGACCCGCAGCGGAGACGGTGGTAGCGGCGACGTTGAAGACGTGAAACATATTTTTTTAGGCTTTTAAGCTCGTGATACCATGTGAATAATTAGCACAGGTTACCCTAATTAGAGTCCTGAGAGATGTATTTATAATAATAAGGAGTTTCCAAAATACATCATGATTCCTAATTAATATTAACTATTAAATATTTCATGCACTCACATGATTCACGAAAAACTTCGGAACTAGTTGACTTTTCATAAAAATACAGGGACCTATCTGACAATTTTCTCATTTTAAAAAAAAAATAAGTACTTGGTAATACTTGATAATTAGAGACCGTTTGGCAACCCTCATTTTCGGCTTATCAGGCTTATCAGTCAACTTGTTTACCAAACACGTAAATTTTGCTTTCGTGCGCTGAATTGTGTAATAAGCCGAAGAAGTAAGGTTGAAGTTGCTTTTCTGGCTGTATTGGCTGAAGTTATTGTAGATGACCATTTTAGCTATATTTACATATTATTTTTTCTTTATTTTATTAATAAAATATATCTTAAAAATATTTTTTTCTTGTATCAGCAGAATGAACCAATGCAGTCACTTCAGCCAGAACTTCATAAATTTCAACAGAATCCGTCAGAACAGCCGATTTTCGTGCTGCCAAACGGGCCGGCAGTGGAGGTGTAATAATAGGAGTGAAATGAAAGGCATTTGGGGGTTGTATAGTATTGCGTGGGTGAGAGATAGGATAAGATCGAGAAGAGAGTGAGGGAGTGAGCGTGAAAGAGACGGAAGGATGGCGGCGGCGGCCTCAATTTCAAGTGCGGCTGCTGCTGCAGCTATGATTATCCATCATCATCATCATCATCGGACACGGCTAATACCTTCTTCTTCTTGTTGTTCATTAAGGAGGTGGCCGAAGCTCAAAACAGAGCTTTTGGGGGGAAGATGCGGCGGCCCCTCATGTGGGCGCACCAGAATAAGTTGCTGGTTCAGATTCGGCGGCGGCGGAAAGAGTAGTAGGAGGCAGCAGCAGTCACGAGATGACTTTGATCGAGATGATGTTGAACAGGTGCGTACGTAACTCCGTGATCCGATCGATCATTAATTACGACGATCTGCAACTGATCCATTTCATATAATTAATTAATTAATTAATCATTCATTTAATTACACTCGGCTCCGATTGGATAGGCACGATGATTTAGAAAGTGATTAAAGGAGGGGAGAGGTTATATACTTCTCAACTGTCTCCCGGTTAGCCAAGCTTTGACTTTACAAGTTAATAGCGTCAATGATGAAAATGTTCTATGTTAAAAATACTCGTAAAAGTATTAAATTTTATACTTAGCTTGAAGTTCATTCCACACTATGGATCGGATCATCAAACATATTACATACATCTAAAGTTGAGATGCAACAGTGATGAGGATCCTGCCTGCCGGTGTGCTAAGGATACATAGATATGCACATGATGACCATTATCTATCTATCTATCTGATCCATCTTAACTACTCAATAATGTATTCTTATGTGGCCTGATATATATGGGACTTACCACCTATAAAGCTAAGCTTTCCGTTTGTAGATTCTACTATTGCATTGCATTGCATTGTATGTGTGCTATTATGAATAAATAAATTTATTACTAAACTCTGCTAGCTACAAATCCCATTATAAACACTTTAATGCTATCCATTTCTCAAACTCTAATGCAGTACTTCAACTATATGGGTATGCTAGCAGTAGAGGGGTCTTATGATAAGATGGAGGCTCTGTTGAACCAAGATATCCACCCCGTCGATGTTTTGCTACTTCTGGCTGCTTCAGAGGGAGACCAGCCTAAAATCCAAGAGTTACTCACAGCGGGTGCCGATTACACTGTCAAAGATGCTGATGGCCGCACCGCGCTTGATAGGGCTGCAGCTCATGATGAGGATCTCAAATCCTTCATGCTCAATCTCTCACTCCCTTACCTATAGTTAACATTTAACAACTTATATTTAATTGCTGCTGTAACAAATCATAATGAACATCTTGCATTCAGTTTATATATGGTCTCGATATGCGGCCACAATTTACTTCTAGTACATTATACTAAACTTCTATGTAATGGTGCATCATACTCCGTATTTAACATTAAGGATGTCTTTAGAGATACATCTACTCGGTCACATTTAGGTTTTGTGATATTTGAAATCAACTGCCTACGCATTTATGATATTTGTATTCCTGTTGGTGCATATTTTATCACTAAATAAATGAAACTTATGTGACATAACACAATGTTTTAAAATGGCCCCAATTAATGATCATCCAGAATGAGATATCGATGATATGTGATTATGTGATAAGATTGGTGTTTGGATTGCACCATACTTTTTGAAAGTGTAGTTGGTTTCTTGACTATGAATTCAAGCAATTCATAATGGTCACATAGAAATTTTTGAAAATATTGGCACACCCAATCGAGAAACCATTTGGTATGTTCTATTCACGTGTCTATGGAATTATTCATGTATATAGTGGAGTAGTGTAATAATCCTCTAAGTTGAGAGCAATGCATACTTCATGTGTGGAGTGATGTGTTTTAACAATGATCAACGCTTGCACACCCGTCAGGATATAAATGCCATGTGTTGGGCGCATCACAAAGCAAATGTTGTTGAGAAATTCAGTCCCAAATAGGATCTAATCTCACTAAACATGATAAAATTCATAGAATCAAACAATAAGAACACTAACCGGTTGAGGAGAAACCGAACGTTGATGGTGCCGTAGAAGATGAAGCCATTGATGTGTAGATTCTCTAAGGATACAAACTACAAATCGATGGATTTCTAAGTCTCCCTTGGGTCTCTTTATAATGGTGTTCTCGAGACCCTTAGGAAGAAACACGTCTTTTCCCTTTTGTCGTAAGAGTTGGAATGAGCGTGTACTTTTATATATTGTATCAAAGAGAAACTCTTTTGGTCCCTTATGTATTATTTAATGTTAAAACATACTCATCATATGTTAACTATACATAAATACAGGGATCAAATCTGTCATATGGCAAATTTAATTGTAAGACATAAATGTCCCCAATATATATTAAATTTTTATAAATGGTCCAAAGGCGTTTAAATGGAATATTTTCCAACATTCTCCCACTTGACCTTGAGATCATTTATACATAAGTTAAAGTAAGTTTTGGCCAAAAAAAATTCATCTTACTCCATAATAATATCAAAGCAAACAAATACAGTCTAACGGGTCAATATAACCCGGGACCCCCATTAATCATACGTTGACACTTCTTAAAGAGTATAAGGATTAATATAAGCCAAATGACATTAAACTTAGGGTATTATGTATGTCTATTAAATAACTTTGTGTGCACAATAAAGAATAGACAAAACATACTTAAGAAGGTGATGGATAGTCTACCCGGGGGTATATATCCGAAGGGTTATTGCGGGGAATAACTTAGAGAGAAGTCAGAGCAAGCAAATGTAGAGAGAGAGAGTGTATTATAAATGTGGAGCGTTTTCAGCGTGGTTACAAATGGGGAAATGGGGTGCTATTTATAGTAGCAATAAATGCCGGACAGGGACACGTGTCAAGCGCTCATTGGCCGAGGGGTCACCTCAACTGGTTGGCGCTGGCAGCCGCATGTGGCCGCATTTAATGCGGCTGTTGGATGGGACGTCTGTGCAGGGTACGGTGATCTGTACGCATGTGAGGCGGATATCTTGTCGAGTGAGATGCCTTCGGCTATAGAGCAGTAGCCGAGGGCTCCTCCAACCGATGGCACCCTGGTGCCGAGGGCTCACAGTGTCGAGGGCTACTGTTTTCGCCGTTTTCTCCCAGTTTCTTAATTTGCTTGAGAAACCCGTTCTGTGAGAGTTTAGAACCTTCGGCCAGGGGGCCGAAGGCACCCCTGGCGCGTAGTGCGGGCTGCTTGGTACTCTGGGCGCTGTGATTTGGGCCTGTTGGGCCTTCTGGGCCTGTTGGGCCTTCGCTGGAGTAGTAGGAGTCTGTGGGCCAGGGGTTCCCGGGCCATATACTCCATCAGGAGTCCCTCACTCCTTTTGCCGAAAGGTACTTGAGGGAAAAGGAGTAATTTGTGTTTGCCCTTTGATGTTGTCCTGTCGTGATCTCTGAAGTTGGTGAGGAGTTGTTGCTTTTATGTCCCTGCCGAAGGCAGTCCCTCAGTTACCCACATGTCGGGACTTGAGGGCTTGCTTTGTCGTTTATTGGAATTTCACTAATTTTGTAATTTAATGATTTTCCCGAGGGGGTCCTCCAGTCCCCCACTCCTTGAGACACTTGTAAAGTGGTAAAAAGGAGTAGCGTAGTTGCGTTGCTGTTGTGGGCCGAAGGCTGACGCTTTTCGTTTCATTTTGGGGGGATGCCTCGTTAAAAACCTCATTAGAAAAAACCCTGTGGGAAAAAATCCTAATGAGGGAAAAAGAGTGCACCGGATTCCCCCAATGATGAATCGAAAATGTCAAACCTTGGTCGAAAATGGAGAATAACGGTAATGTCGAAGGCCCTTCTTTTCCTGAGGGCTCATGTGTTGATTAGCCGAAGGCTTGCTGTTGATGTCCTGGGGGTGCCGAAGGGGAGCCCCTCAATCCGGGGATCGAGAGCCTGCTGGATGAGGGCAGCAGCGGAGTTGTTACCGGGGGGTCCACTGTTTGTTGATTAGTTGGTGATGAAGATACCCGAGGGCTCCCATTACCTGTGTGCCATGGGTTATCCGTCAATGAGGCAACTCCCCGGGGGCTACCCGGTTTTGCAGTGCTGAGGGGGAATCCCCGAGGGGTGCCCTGATATGAAGCTCTGGGTTTCTGAAGGAGTGATCCCGAAGGCGTCTGTTATGTGTTGTGTGGGGCACAACCCGGGGGCGTCTCTGGGTAAGTGTACCCGGAGGCTCTCCTTGACGAAGCGGAGTGAAGTAGAAAACCCGGGGGCTTCCAGAATATAGCCGTTGGAAATATAGCCGTTGGAATATGTAACGTCAGGATATAGCCGTTGGGGGGGTACACGTGGCGCGTGACGGTTGGCCGCCCGTGTGCGAAAACCTTGTTAGCGAAGCTCTGCCAATTTTTCTAGAGAGAGAAACAGCAGCCCTCGGTTGAATCCTCTGTTCTTAAGGTCAGTTCTCCACTTGCCCTTCACCTCTTAGCTACCTGTACTGTGCCCTTAGGCTAGGAGATAGAACATTTAGAAAACACTAGCGTCTACGAGCCTTCGAACTAGAGTCAGAATGTCGTCCCAGAGTGATTCTCAAGATATCTCGAGGGCGCCCTCGATAGAGGATGAAGTCCTCTCGGACGTGGAGTCCTCAGGTGCAGAGTCTTCGGTGGGACAGGATGCCGTCGTTGACCTGGAGTTGCAGAAAGCCCTCGTAGCTGAGGCGGAAGCCGAGGGCTTCGAGCAAGAATGTGAGGACGAAGAGTTGGCCCTCGCCTGGAAAGCAGCTGAAGAGGAGGCACAAAGAGAAAGCGCGGGGGTCACCGTTGCTGTGCTCCCCCCTCGGGGTGCCGGTGAGGCCAGCACCTCTCGGCCGCTGAATGCAGTCCCCATCCGGGTGGCCCCCGGAAAGAAGAAGGCCAAAGCCGCCGCTCCCAAGAAGAAGGGCAGCGTAGCAGACCAAGGGAAGCCCCTCGATATGCCCGAGGGGTACTCCTATCTCAACACCGCCGCATTGGAGATCAAGTCGAAGGTTGATGCGGCGGACATCTATGTCACCCAGCTTCACGTGGGCCCCTCGGCCATCGTGGTGACACCGGGTCCGGATGACGTCCTCTCCCGGGCTCCCGAGGGCTGCATTGCGGTGCACGTTCTCTCGGTATCCATGGGGCTCCGCTTCCCCCTGCACCCCTTCCTCCGGGAGTACCTTCGGCTCGTGGGTCTGGTTCCCTGCCAGCTGACCCCGAACAGCCATTCTTACATTACTGGCTTCCTCCAGCTCTGCAAGTCTCGGGGGGTGACGCCTAGCCTGGACCTCTTCTTCCAGAGCTTCAACTTGTGCCGGGGGGGCACGCGAATGCTGAGGGATTCGCCAATTTGCAGCAGGTGTCCATGTTCAAACTCTTCACTGAGGCGCCCTCCTCGAACAAGGGGTGGAAGGACCGGTGGTGCTATGTGAAGCTAGCCGAGAGCCCCTTCCCGAGGGAGCTACGTGACCGCTTCAGGAGGCACGAGAAGAGGAGGAGCGCCGCCCTCGAGAAAGATGGCAGGATTCTGGCCATGATCCCGGAGGGTCGGGACAAGAATATCACCATCAAGGAGTGCACCAAGGAAGCAGATCTCTACACCCTCGGGTTCCGGCGGTACCGGTTCCTGGGGGAAACAGACGAGAAGTTCCCAGTGTTTGAGGGAGCCTCCGGAGGTAGTGGCTGAGGGCATTCTCACCCTCATATCTTAGCACGTTATTTACTTGCGTCGTTTATTTTTTTATGCCACTTATTAGTGACCCCTCGATCCTAACCCCTCATTTTTTTTGCAGGTGTTCCAGTAAACATGATGAACGTCAAAGGCCTCGCCCGACTCAAGAACAAACCGGCCAAGGATCCGAAGGGGCCGGACGCTGGCGGCCAAAAGCCCGTCGGTGCGCCTCCCAAGAAGCCCGAGGGCGATGCTGCTGCGGCGAAGAGGAAGCCGTCGGCAAAGGAGCCCCCCCAGGCCCCCAAAAAGTCGAAGAAGGGGGACGCCGCGAAGGATGACCCCCCGGTGGTGATTGTAGATGACCCTCCGGAGATGCCGATGGCGCAGGTGCCGAGGGGTGCCCGGGAGCCATCCCTCGAGGTTCTCACGCTCTCCCTTCCGGCTGGCACGGCCGTGTTGAATGGTACGGCCGACCCGAGGGCGCTCCTAAGAGGTATAACCCTCGATATCGACAGGGCAGCTCTCGGGGCCGATGAAGATCACGCCCTCGAAGACAGGATCCTCCGGTCTTCCCTCACGGTAAGTTTATGACAACCTGTCCTCCCCTTTCCTACTTTGAACTAGGAAATCACGTTCGGCCCTGACAACTCGTTTATGACATTGCAGACTTGCGTTGCCCTTGGAGAGCAGTTCCGACGGCTGGAGGAATGGCGCCTCCACAAAGCTGAGCAGGACGCCAAGATGAAGGAGCTAATCCTCAGGGATTCCCAGGCCACGAAGTTGATGGCTCAGCTTGAAGAGGACCTCCAGCTTGCGAGAGCGGAGGCTGGGAGGCTCAGGGAGGAGAAGGCAAAAGCCGAGGAGGCCGCTGCGGAGGCCGCAAGGAGAGCTGCCGAGGAGGCCGAGGCCATGAGGGCGAAGGC